AACTGGATGACTTTATCATCTTTCTCGATGGAATAATTCCTAGAAAGAAACAATGAAAGTCACTGTAGAAGAATGTCATTTCCAGTTTAATGATATTGCATGACATCCAGTTACTCCTTGTGATGGTATTTTCATATCCAGGGATACTGCATGGAATGTCGCGTACGGACACGTGGAATTTTGCAGTGCGGGAGTTTTTTTTTTTTTTTATGAAAACGATAAGAACATTTTCAAAATCAGCGCGCATATCAGACTGGAAAGCAGCTAAACGCTCTTAATAGCAAACATCCACTGGTCAGAACTGTGCAAAAAACGCCTTCTCACATTTTTTATCCGGCACACAGAATTGGCTGTTTTTTTTCTTTTTTTTTTGACATGAATGATTTTGCTAGCAATGTAAAAACAGGCCTAGTGCCCCTGGTGCGCTGTATAAATAAAGTTACAAATTCGATGGTCTGTAAACTGTCTAAACATACCAGCTTTTAAAACGTCGGATGCTATCCAAAATAGCAAATTGCTGCCACCTTTTGCCGTAATTCAAGAGATTTCTTTTACCATTGCATTGCTCTGGCTGAAGGTAGTCACTGTTGCCAATGTGTACAAACGTTAGATCTTGCAAAACAAGACCTCTAAAACAAATAACTTATAATAGGCTGCAAACGAACCAGCGGAATCATGTAAATTAAGTTTCATGTGAACAAAAATTAATGAAACTCGCGAGTATTTCACTTTTTTTGCATCCAGTGACAAAAAAAAACTGTTTTATGGTAGACCGGAGGCCCGCAATGAGTCGGCAAATCTCACGAGGTTTTTTTTTTCACATGCGGTTGTGCCCTATATTAAAGTTGTGACTCAAGACTGTGTACAAGCCATAAAACTGGCGCTTCAGAGGACCTCGGCAAGTTATTATGTACTTAATTTCTTTTTCTTGATTGCTAACTTCGGGGCAAATATCTGACCATTCTTGCTAGACCAGTCACAAGAACGGAGCCACAAAACTGTAGTCTTGCGGTACTCAAACATTTCAAGTATCGAGCCGGAAATGAATTTTCTACGTCATGAACGGTGAGCACAAGCTCTGCGCTTCAGCACAGCTGGCTGCGCGAAAAAATAGTAAAAGGTGAACATTAGCTCAAACAGATGAAGAAATATGAGTGGGTGCGTGATACAGTCTAAAAATACACATTTGTCATGGTAGTTTGCATAACTTTGATCCCATCTCCACACAAAGGCACAGGCTCTCCATCCACTTCTTGAGGAAATTGAACGTTACCCGTCGATGCAGTTATCTTGTCACATATCGCCAATAGGAAGACCGTCGCAGAAAATTGAATCATAGCTTATTAAATCATAAAGAGCAACGAGCATAAGCAGAAGTAGATGAATTTCAGTTTTTTTAAGTCTTCGCCAATTTTCCGTTTCTCAAATTTTCTGGTTTTTGATTAGCTTCTGATTCTCGAAGCTTACATGTAAGGCAAACATGGAGGACGACTTTCGGCTAACAGTGTGCGATAATTTTTGAACGAATGAGAACTGTCCATAACCACAGAGTGTTCCTTCAAAAGATCAGTGATCTGCTTCGACCAATCTAACCGTTGAATTGGACCGGAATCCAGTGCCGATAATATTGCCAAATAGGAATTATAATTGCCCATTGCTCGCAGCTGCTATAATTTCAGTAATGCATGTATTACGATGAATTAGGTTTGTGGCGCCGTTTGTTGATGTAAAAAAAAAAAAAATAATGTGGTGCCGTCTGTTAGTTTTTCAGTCCTGTAAAAAAAGTGCACCTCTATGGCAATGCACCATCGGAACGCAAAGCAATTCGATCCGCAAATAAAAATAAAAAGGGAGCCTTCAAAATTTTCAAAAAGCTTTCGATCCAATTAAAAAGTCAGCAAAACTATCAAAATTCAAGGAAAAATGACGAAAACAAAAATTACACAAAGTAAGAAAAAAAAGCAAATTTCGGATTTATTCGAAAGGAAATGAATTCAAATGTGGCAGCACTGGAGTGTGAAATAAGACTGCCACAAATAAAAATGTGCGAAAACTATTACTTTTTATTGCTTTCTACCATAATTCGGTGTAAGTTTTTGCGAAGTTTCTCGCTGTAAGAAAAAAAAGTGAAGCCTCTTGCTATTTAACTTAAGGCTGACTTATTTTTGCAAATTTATGAATATTTCTGTTTTTTTAAAGAACATCTACCAATGACGCTAACCTTCATTATTTTGATGAATTTCATCATCACTTTTTCGCGAGTTCTTTGCTCATTTGACTCTAAAACAAGCGTTCTTACCCAGTAGGAGACCTGGAATTAACTTTTATAAAGAGATAATACAGCTTTTGAAGCTTATCCTTTGAATTTGCACAATTAAAACCTCAATTTTGCGTAGATTTATCCGTCTCAGGAAAACAGTTAATAAGACAAAGATTTCATGTAACGCACCTTGTTAAAATGTTCCGTGAAACGACAGAGATTTGGGCTCTTCTTCTCATTTTGTTCTTGCGCCCACCAAAGCATTTCGGCCGGCTGGAAATAAAAATTTAAAAATGCTCGAGACTTTTCTTCACTGACCCATTGTACAGCTTCTTAATCATATATTGACACCTATGGACATTTTTGACGGATTGTACATCCAATTCTGGTATGCGATAACAAAAACATTCGAAAAGAAAACCCGGAGAGCATCGATATGACTGTTTTGCTATCCGCAACAAAACGCAGATTTTAAGGATTGGAAAAACATGTGAAGGAAGCTTATTTTGCCTAGACTACAAAGGGGATTTGGCCGTGTATGAATTTGAGTACAACAATCTGCTTTTTGTTAAGATGAGACTTTTTAACAGAATCCTTAAAGTATAAAAGATGTTACGAATACACATCGTATTAGAAAACAAGCATTTCAAATAGCTTGATACAGCTTTCGCTTTACCGCTAAAAAACCGAAAATAAATGCAGCATTAAAAGTATCAACCTCAATCAAATGAAACAATTCCGCATCCAGATAAGTCATCTGTTTTGCGATAAGTACAGAACGGAAGTCGAAAATCGTAAAATTCCTGAAAAACAGATCTTTTTCAATAATAACAAGACATCGACTGTGAATGAAAAATTGCGGTGCAGAACAAATTTGTCAGTTGCCGGTGGTTAATTATGAGACAGCCCTTGATGCTACTATTATGCGTCACTAACCTCCGTTCGAAATCGACGTAAAATAAGCCCGGTTCCGTATGATTTTGTGATCCTTCACGACAGCACTCGGCGCTGGTCTTCCTAGCATGCTAAGGGCTTGATCGAACTTTAGGATTGCTCACCTAGCAATTCTGGGAAAACTGAGTCATTAATTGTTTCTGAGGCGTTAAAATGCGATGGGAATTTTTGAGAGGCGAAAAGAGCTTAAAGTATTGATTACATCTAACAGTCGCACCCTAATGCGGTCCCGAGTAAATCAAATGCGTGGCACGAGTAATAAACTCTGCCTGTGTTTTATGAATATGCGGACATGCGTCTACGTCTATCCGAACAGTTTCCGCACTTAAGCAGAATATTAAGCTAAATTTCACAGACTTAATACACTTCTTCACCTCTCCCCAGAATCAGTCTTTGAATCGTCCTAAGTGAGTTTATGTTCACATGCTAAAGTAACGAGACAAATTATTTTTAGTTTTTTTCGATTGCTACAACGGTTCCACTGGTTCAAAAGATTTCATCAGGCGGTATACTTCGGTACTGATCCATTCATCCACTTTACGCGCAAGTGACTAATCACAGTAACCCATTACATTCATCCCTTTGCCTATTCACGATGATGGATATCTCAAAAGCCCCTACTCATCCCTCAATAGTCATCCGCAATTAAAATGCGGAGCAAGTGAGAATCACATGAAAAGTGACTTCAGTGAGCACACTACCTTGAGCTTTTCGAAGCTGTTCGATTCACTACTGCTTTTCGTTTTAGCGTTGACTTGAGGTCCATCCGAGCCATTAGCCTTGATCTGAAAACATGCTCTCCAAGTGGACAAAAAGAAAGCGCTTCCACAGCTGCTTATGACTGTCGCTCTCTGTTGTAAATATGACTCAAATCACTGCATGTGAACTACATCCAGTGCCTTTGATTGCCACGTTTGTACTCCGAGACTATAGAAGAAATAAGCCTATTTGATCAAGTACAGGAAAACTAATACTTTTGATTTTTTTCTTGCCCGGAAATCATCCAGGATGGCGCGAACCACACATCTTTATCAATATACATTCAAAATTATGCTCAAATAATAGGCAACAGGTTTTGGTAGGTCGTGAATTTTTATTCACCACAGGGGATAAAAATGCTTCGTGTCTCTAGCACCAACCGCATTTCGTCTTGCTTCCTTTAGTACATACAAAAACTTTGAGAGAAATTTGACGCAAACGTAAATAAAGAGACAGTTTTATGAAACTGCATAGTTCTCTTATACAAACTCAGTGCTGCAAACCTGAGAATCTTCGCGAACTTTAATTTATCTTCACTTATAAGACGGCTTATGAATTTCGCTATTAATCGAATAAGCTTTCGGGTCTGCTCCACGGCACATAATTCGTCGACTACTCGTGCTAGCATCGAGAACGTCTGATTCGCTACTTTCACTGATTGTCGCTCCTTTCCTGCACACATGTACGAATATCTACAAATCTTTGTAAATTAACTGACCTTTAAATCTCCGCGATATCCAATACAGTGTCAAAGTTAAGAGCGCAAGTCAATTACAGTCTTTGATGTGTACTGAGGCTCTTGGATTACTTCATGGGATAATTCATTCTTTTTAAACCTGTCACCGCAATCACTGCAAAAACATCGGGTACGGAAGGAAGAGAAGAGGAGATAGGAACTGTAATGCTCATTTAGCATTAGATTGTAGTAGTTTATAATAGCTAATTTAAGTAACAGAAAATTATGACAACTAATCTAATGATCTACAATGAAAATAACGAACGCAATAAGAAATAGAAAACCTAGTAGAAAGCGTACCGGCTGCCGGTACGAGGATGCATTTTTTGCGCAGTTCCCCCCGCAGCTTTTTTCCGCCAGTGGTACGTCCTTCCTGGCAGATACTTCTAGCTAAAAGAATTGGGACTGGCCACCACGACTGTTAGAAATTACTACAATGACTCCCAATCCATACCCAGAAGATTCAGTGCTCTGGATGCTTCGGTTGCAGAGTTACGTCAAATTTCACGTGCTCGTGCGTGAGTGGCTACGCGAATGTTTTCTTCGCCCGCAGTTGCCTGATAGCGTTCAGAAAGTTTCAGCACTCTAGCTGCTCTGGTTGCAGAGTTACATAAAATTTCACGTGTTCGTACGCGAGTGGCAACGTGGAAGCTTTTGCCGCTCGCGCCCGCTCAAACACGGTCATGGGTAGCGCTCAGAAGGTTTCGGCACTCCAGCCGTCCTGACTGCAGAATTAGATCAAATTTCACGTGTTCGTACGTGAGTGGCTACGTAAATGATTTCTTCGCCCGCAGTTGCTCAAACACGGTCCTGGATAGCGCTCAGAAAGTTTCAGCACCCTAACTGCTCTGGTTGCAGAGTTACGTCAAATTTCACGTGTTCGTACGTGAGTGGAAAAGTGAATGCTTTCATCGCTCGCGCCTGCTCAAACGCGGTCATGGGTAGCGGTGG